ATTCACACATGGAACAATGGTTTACTAATGCAATCTAAAATAATGTAACAAATTTTTGCAGGGAAGTATTACTGCAACGTCTATTCCAGTTATCGGTTGTGAGTAATTCAGCTTGGATTGTTAGCATACTGTCTGGCAGAAAAGTCAGATGAGCAAACCTCTGCAGCAGTTCACAACTCTTGAGTTTCATGGAGACTGCTCATGTGAATAACGGTCAAAAATGAAGATGCAACTATAACCACAAAAAAAACAAACAATGTAAGACTTGCAAGGATAATGTATGACTTCTGTTGAGAAGGCGTAAATTATCTTTAAAATTCTCCTCAGTTATAGTTAACTTTGTTTTTATTTTCTGTTTATCTAGTATTTAATTTATGATTTTATTTCTAAGTACATCTTAAGTCCAAGTGATCATTGGCTAAATAGAACAAAGCCTGCATTCAAGGCCTTGTTGCCTCTGCGAGCCCTAATACAAGATACATAACGAGTATAACAGTGACGATCACTTGTTTTTGCTGTTATTTATATAAATGTTAGCTTTGGTAAACTGTATCCAAGTGATTTGGACAATGACTAAACAGAGCTTAAGCAGATATAATTGAGTAAATCCAGCAGCAGTCATTCACAGTACCTCATTCATCACAGAAGCTCAAGGCTGCATCAAATCTGTACAGTAAAATATATATGAGTATAATACTTATTATGTGCTAATAGCTATGTGTTACCATAGCAAAGTACAGGTACCCGAATCACAGAATGAAACTGAAATTGTACTGCAAAGATTTTTCCATGTAAGAGTTCATTGATTTAATGATTCTCGCCACCGGCTTTCTGTGTTATTTTAAGGGACCTCTGTCTGTGTCTTAATTAGACTCTTTTTAACATTTTGCACACTTGGAATTCAACAATACAGTATTAGGAACCTCTTGATATACCTGGTTTAAACACAAAAAATGTGGGAAATGGCAAATGGATGAGTTCTTATATAGCACTTCTCTACTCTGAGCACTCAAAGCAATTTACACAACTTGCCTGATTTACATAAACACTTATCTATGCAAGTGCTTTTTAGGTAACAGTCACACACATTCATACGCAGACAGATGCTTGCAAGGATATCTGACTTGCAGACTGAAGCAGGATTGAACTGATGTATTAGATGATAACATTTTCAGAATGTTACCCATTTATGTGAAGGCCCTCGCACACTTATAATACAGAATATAATCCACCCACTGTTATCATCTGAAAACTAAGGTCTCAAATCAGAAGTACCTGACTCCGTGGTATAATTCTCAAACACGTAGCCTAAAGCAGATGACTCGTAAGCTGGAGAGGAAATGGCGTGTCACAAATTTAGAGGATCATCATTTAGCCTGGAGAAATAGTTTGCTGCTTTATAAGAAAGCCCTCCACAAAGCCAGAACATCTTACTATTCATCACTGATTGAAGAAAATAAGAACAACCCCAGGTTTCTCTTCAGCTCTGTAGCCAGGCTGACAAAAGTCAGAGCTCTTTTGAGCCAACCATCCCTTTAACGTTAACTAGTAATGACTTCATGAACTTCTTCACAAATAAAATTTTATCATTAGAGAAAAAATTACCAATAATCATCCCACAGATGTAATATTATCTACAGCTACTCTTAGTACCATTGATGTTAAGTTAGACTCTTTTTCTCCAATTGATCTTTCTGAGTTAACTTCAATAATTACTTCCTCCAAACCATCAACGTGTCTTTTAGACCCCATTCCTACAAAACTGCTCAAAGAAGTCCTGCCATTAATTAATTCTTCGATCTTAAATATGATCAACCTATCTCTAATGATCGGCTATGTACCACAGGCCTTCAAGCTGGCTGTAGTTAAACCTTTACTCAAAAAGCATCTCTAGACCCAGCAGTCTTAGCTAATTATAGGCCAATCTCCAACCTTCCTTTCATATCAAACATCCTTGAAAGAGTAGTTGTCAAACAGCTAACAGATCATCTGCAGAGGAATGGTTTATTTGAAGAGTTTCAGTCAGAGTTCATCACAGCACAGAAACAGCTTTAGTGAAGGTTACAAATGATCTTCTTATGGCCTCTGACAGTGGACTCATCTCTGTGCTTGTCCTGCTAGACCTCAGTGCAGCATTCGATACTGTTGACCATAATATCCTATTAGAGCGATTAGAACATGCTGTAGGTATTACAGGTACTGCACTGCAGTGGTTTGTATCATATCTATCTAATAGACTCCAATTTGTTCATGTAAATGGAGAGTCCTCTTCACACACTGAGGTTAATTATGGAGTTCCACAGGGTTCAGTGCTAGGACCAATTCTGTTTACATTATACATGCTTCCCTTAGGCAGCATCATTAGAAGACATAGCATACATTTTCACTGCTATGCAGATGACACCCAGCTCTATCTGTCCATGAAGCCAGATAACACACACCAATTAGTTAAACTGCAGGAATGTCTTAAAGACATAAAGACCTGGATGGCCGCTAACTTTCTGCTTCTTAATTCAGATAAAACTGAGGTTATTGTACTCGGCCCTGAAAAGCCTAGAAATATGGTATCTAACCAGATTCTTACTCTGGATGGCATTACCTTGGCCTCCAGTAACGCTGTGAGGAACCTTGGAGTCATTTTTGACCAGGACATGTCCTTCAATGCACATATTAAACAAATATGTAAGACTGCTTTCTTCCATTTGCGCAACATCTCTAAAATTAGAAATATCCTGTCTCAGAGTGACGCTGAAAAACTAGTTCATGCATTTATTACTTCCAGGCTGGACTACTGTAATTCATTATTATCAGGATGTCCAAAAAACTCACTGAAAAGCCTTCAGCTAATCCAAAATGCTGCAGCAAGAGTCCTGACAGGGACTAGAAAGAGAGAGCATTCTCCTGTTTTGGCTTCCCTTCATTGGCTTCCTGTTAAATCCAGAATTGAATTCAAAATCCTGCTCCTCACATACAAGGTCTTAAATAATCAGGCCCCATCTTATCTTAATGACCTTGTAGTACCATATCACCCTATTAGAGCACTTCGCTCTCGCTCTGCAGGCCTACTTGTTGTTCCTAGAGTATTTAAAAGTAGAATGGGAGGGAGAGCCTTCAGTTTTCAGGCCCCTCTTCTGTGGAACCAGCTTCCAGTTTGGATTCAGGAGACAGACACTATCTCTACTTTCAAGATTAGGCTTCAAACTTTCCTTTTTGCTAAAGCATATAGTTAGGGCTGGACCAGATGGCCCTGCCCTTCCCTGAGCCTGGTTCTGCCGGAGGTTTCTTCCTGTTAAAAGGGAGTTTTTCCTTCCCACTGTCGACAAAGTGCTTGCTCATAGGGGGTCATATGATTGTTGGGTTTTTCTCTGTATCTATTATTGTGCGATCTACTGTACAATATAAAGCGCCTTGAGGCGACTTTTGTTGTGATTTGGCGCTATATAAATAAATTTGAATTGAACTTAAGATTACATTGGATTGTATATGGCCCACAAACTAAAAACAACTTTAACAGTCCTGATTCAGCTCTTTGAAGGAAAGTGAACTTTTAGAATGTGTACTTATGGCTAACAATAGACACTGAAAGCGAAAGACAAAGGGGAGCACACATGTACACAGAAGCACAGATAAGAGTGCCTGTAGACAGCCAATCAAACTCATGAGCATGCCTGCAGCTGCTAAGAAACAGCCCCAAATTTACCCAGCTCACAAAAGCAAGAATAAGGAGTGCAAGCCACAATGCACCAGGGCCACACTGAAGCGGTTACAGCATACTACATAGCTACAGGTTTTACACCAACTCTCTTAAATAAGACGACGTGATGAGGAAACTGAGTAAAAGACAATACAACACTGATCATCTTTTCACTTGCTTCAGTTTTACTCCAAACTTCAATCTGAGGTAATTGTAGACGTTCAGGTACACGCCCATGCAACATGCCCCAAAGTTCCCAGCAATAAATAAGAAAAGCAACCACTAACACTAAGTGCTGCACAGTGGTGATGCTTGTAACAAATCTAGCCAGAGTTTCAAACAATGAGGTCAGGTTATCATGTGAACTAAAAGCTCAATCCTCAGACAGTTTAAATCCTATTGGATCTTTCCAATATCAGAGAGGAGCCATCTTTAAAAGGCCATCTCAGGGATGCAGCACTGTTCCACAGTCCACCTGTTGTTGAAACTTTGTGTTTCTGAAGAGCAGCCAATCATAACTCTTTAAGGCAGGGCAGACCTCAAAGAGTGGTTGAACTGAAGGGCTGCAGCAAAGCTAACTATGAATTACTTAAAAACCAAATTGTGTGAAACTCATGCAAAGCTACTCTAGCAGTCAAATGCGGGAAAATGTATAAGTACAAATCTGCATAAGCCTGGGTTTCAGACCCAGTGTGCAAGACTGTGGCACCTAAACAAGTGTTTCCAACACAAACCGCCCTGTAGTCATGAAGAGCATGGCAACGGGGGTGTCATTTGGGCGGAATCAAATGCAGGGTCAGTGAGACAGCCATGAGTCATGAAGCTGAATCTGATCACTGAGATTCAAACTTGTTTTTGGTTGAGGCAAGAGCAGCCAGCTGGCAAGTAGATCACTGACTGGTTTGCATATATCTGACACTGCCAGGTTATGCGAAGTACAACAAACTACACGGTGGTGCATTAACCCATCATATAATGCAACTACTGGTCCAAGGAGACCCTAATGTTGCAACAAACCTTGAGCACTGTAGTGTCTCAGAGCTGACCATAAGGGATGGCCGATCTTTATAAGACAATAAAACGCAAGTGTACCGAATAATTATATACTTTATAAAAAGTACAAAAGGATAAGTAATGCGCTTATGTGTACTTGAAAAGCATTAAACAGTAAAGTGGCCAGATTTTCCAACTGACTTTGGCACAAATCCTTTCATCGAGCGCATAATACACGCCTTTAATCTTTAATCCTGCTTGTAAATTAGTTTGGCGCTGTTGCTGCTTGTTTTGTTTTTATAATCAGACCCACCTCTTCTGTGTGTTTTCTCAGTGCCTTCTCTCGCTCATACTGGGTAACGAGCTGCTCGTTGTCCTCCTTCAGCAGCTCCAGCTCCACTTCGTGCTCCTGGTTGACAGCGAACACCGAGTCCAAGTTCTCCAGCACGGCGACGACCAGCGGCATCAGCTCCTTTACCACATCCTCGTCGTATTTTTCTATGAGCCGTTCAAACTCCCTGTATATTGAACTGGCCAGACCTGAGACCCGCTCAGACATCATGGTCGAGTTGCCCGAGTCGTCCTGATACAGGACTACGTCGTCCAGCTCCATTTTCCCGATTCCACTTGCACTTCTTTCCCAGCTAACGTTAATGAGCTAGCCGCAAGCTTCGGCTGACCAGAGGCTACCCACCTTCTACTTTCGCGGCAACAACAAAACTGTGCTCCTAAAACATCGCTCGAATGTTGTTTCTCATGCAGCGAAGGCGCTGTACTTCATTAACACAGTTCCTATCCCTTAGTCGTGTGGACGGCAGACTTTAAACCCTTGCTAGCCTAGAAGCTAGCAGTACTGAAAAGTCTTTACTTGGCTCCTGATTAGTTTCCCTATCCAACAGATGGGCTTCTGCTGCTGCGTTCACGCGCTGTTGGAAAGATGGGAACAAGCGAAGTTCAACGAATCAAAAAAAGTAGTAAGCGCAACATAACAGAACAAATTATTTAGCAGTTATGGAAAAACAAAACACTAAAAGGTGACAGTATAGCCCAATAGCCCATGCTAGCAAATATAGCTTGTGCTTACAGAGCTAAAAAATAATAATAATGGGATTTTAACTATTGCTCATATATAGTTACTTTTAAGTGACGTTTGAGGGGCGGAGAAAAAATCGTATCAAAAACTGGTTTAAAGAAAAACACTTGTAGCTTTGCCTTCTTGCATATGCATAAAATACAGAATTTACCCGTAATTTTCCCGTTAAATGATATCGATAATTATTTAAATTATTTAATTGACCGAGTTAGTACACACTTCCAACTTCTAATTCTGGCACTGCAGCACAAACAAAGCAGTTATGTAGGCGTACCAATTGATTCCCTTCATAAGTCAAACCTGGGATGATGTCGTTTGGGCAGCGTTAGTAACGCATTGAATAACCGCTCTGTCATTTCCCGAGTCAGTTTGGAAATATGAGCTCACAGGGATCACTTGAAGATGTCATGTTGGTGACGCTGACGTCACATCTCTGCGGGGGACAGAGTGTGAAAAACTGAAAGTAAGACACTTTTTAAAAAAAATGAAAAGATGGTTCGATAAAAGAATGTGCCCGTCTCACCAACTCCTTCATCCACACGGTATTTTACTTTCATGTTCAAAATTTACATCCCTTTAGATTTCCAGTACTATCAAGAGAATATGCAGTTGTTTCTAATGCGGTCAGTTGTGCAGTCAGCGTTTCAGCCTCTCCTGCCACTGCATCACATCATCTTTTCATCCAAGCACATATAGTGACCATTGCTGCAGTTTTCACAATAACAAAGCATCCAACAAAATGAGCAGAAATTTCACCCTTATTCTATCAGCTCTCCATACTGTGATCTCCTTTTGATGTAATACTTGTTAAATTATTAAGTGGATTTGGTCATGGCTTTTACCTAGTGGGATTTAAGATTATTTACAGCTGTTTCTACCTGTGAAGATGTTCTTTAATCTAACGTTGGGTCTGTTCCCCAAACGGTCAAGGTAGATGAGGTTTCTGCCGGAGGTTTCTTCCTGTTAAAAGGGATTTTTTTTCCTCCCACTGTCACCGAGTGCTTACTTATAGGGGGTCTTCTGATCTTTGTCGTTTCCTCTGTATTCCTGTGGGTTCTTTGCTTCACATTATAAAGCACCATGAGGCGACTGTTGTTGCTATATGGCACAGGTTAAGCAAAAATCAACTGAACTGAATGTGTTTACAGGACAAATTTATTCAATTTGGAACAGAAAAAAGTGTTTTTAGGGATAATATGTTGTTAATTTCTTTTTTATTTATGGTAAACACTTCCATAAAAGCAACCTTTTATACCAAACATCAAAGTTTAACACATTTTATGTATCTTTCAGTCTTTATGTAATGTATAGCCTTAATGCAGAGGTTCTAAAAAGAATCTCTGCACTAATTTTTTATATATATATATATATACACACACACACACACACACACACACACACACACACACACACACA